TGGGAATATAGATGATCGCAATCGGATCCCCTCTCCTCACGTTCCGTAGCGTTGTCTTCGTCGCCACGTTCATCTCATCCCATGGAGCAAATGCCCCGAAGTGCAGTGCTAGCCTGTTACCGCCATCGATTCCACCGGGGACTAGCCCACAGCGTACGATGCTTGGCAGGTTTTCCACATACGTCACATGGAATGCTCCTCCGAGAGTATCACCCATTCTTGCGGAATACCTGTTCGCCAGTGCGGATGAGCTCATGAATCCAAAATCACTGTGACCGGTTGTGACTCGGATGCACCAAGGTCTGTACCATCCATCGCATCTGTTGAACATTCTGTCGATGTCGTCCCGATCCACGCCAGCTTCGGTCATTTCCTCCCTGGCTGCCCTCGTGTCGTTCGGGTTCATGATGCTCGGAAACCTTGCTGCCAAAACCTGGAATCTCGATTTTCTGCTTCCGGATTCCTGCCACTTGATCACCTCCATGATGCCCATGTATCGTTTCGCTCTCGTGGTGTATGGTGGGAATATGTCGTTGTTCCAGTCGTCAATGACAGCATCAATGTCGACCCATCCACCCTCGTCGCACCTGAAAGCACTTCCTCGGCAATTGCCGATCTTGTGTCGAAGGACTCTGCATAGGTCGTGAGATAGCTGGTTTGCTTGGTCCCTTGTAGTAAATACCGAGCGATCATCACCAATCATGCATAGTGGAGCACCGTCGAAAGGAGCAATGCAGAAGTTGACACTCTTGCCAAGTTGCATCACGTCCACTTGCTCAAGGATTGCACCTTTGGGAAAGTGTTTGGGGTCAACGATGGACGCATACGCCCATGGCAAGTGCACATCACTCACATCGCCATACTTCGGGATGTAGCACGGGATGGTGTCGCATCCCATCTCAAGCGTCTTCTTGAATGTCCTGCTGTCCCCGCACGGGTTGTATGTGAGGTCGACGCCACCACATTGTAGCTCTCCTCCCTCAGCCGTGTCAACCATCTCCACCAAATTAATAGTGTAGCTGTACATCTCAATTGTTTCTTTCCCTGCTTGTCCTCCTTTCTTTCTTTCCTTGGACGTTGATGAGGACGGTTCCTCCGTATCCCCCATGTCTTCATCAGATGAAACGGGGTCGCTGCTGAGTAGCTCACGGAGCATCTTCATCGCCTTCTCAGTTCCAGCAGCCTCCTCAATGTCCTTGCAGTCGCCGTCGTGGGCCAGGTTCGCGCACTTCTTGCAGATCCCCATATCTCCCATGCGCTTCTCCATTGACTCCAGGAATCCTAGTGCCGCTCTCCGCCCGTCGATCACTCGCTGCTTCTTATCTTCCTTCTCAGCATTGGGCTGAGAACTTCGACTCGGGTCTGGTGCTTGACCAAGACCCTCATCTTCGCCCTCCGTGGCCTTTCTCTTGGACCCTTGTGCAGAGGGCTTGGTGATCAGGGATCGTGGATGTCTGGGCTTGACCTTGTTCATGATGTCAAGCACCTCCTTCGTGGGCACGCCGAGCTGTGCGGACGGTCTGTTCCGCTTTCTGTTCTAGCCCGTCGTGTGGGTCACGTTCCCAGCGAGGTGTCGCACTATTGACTGCTCGAACTCCCTCTTGATCTTCCATGCATCCTTCCACAGTGGCAGTTCGTGCTGGAGGTACGACATCACCTCAAAGAATCCCAACACCATCTCGACGACGTCTCCCAAGGATTCCTCGTTCGTGGTTTGTCCCAGGAGTTCATACATCGTTCCTTGGTCGAGCACACTCTTGATCCAGGACGAATATGCCACATTGCCAAGATCCTTGTCTATCAAGAAGATGGACATCCTCTCCTCGACTCCCTCGGAATTCTTGCACACGAACACATCCCGGGATGCACACAATTGCCTCCCGTGACCGTTGTTGTAGAACTGCGCTGCCTGATCCACAGTCATGCTCACGAGTCCCACGTGAGAAAGCTCCTTCTTCAGCTTAGAATACACGAGCTCCCGTATGATCGTGATCATGGCCTGGATGTTGTTGACGTCCACCATGAGGTTTTGAAGGTCGGGGATTGCCACCACGCATTCCGCGAAGAGGCGCGTGTACATTTTCTTCCCCTCGATAGACATTGCAATACCGTTCGTGTCCGCGTTCCAGTTCGCGCAACAGTTCACGCAAGAAGAGGGTTTGTACTTCGACTTCGGTCCGAGCACCTTCGACTTGCTCATCTGCATCTCTTTAGCGCAAAGTTCGCAGATAAACTTGCTGAGCTCCGTGACCGTATACCATCGAATACGTTGATCACCGGCATCGGCTTTCCCAAAAGCATCCTGCTCGCCGCGTCCTTCATCTTGCCGCTCTTGTTTCCTCTTCGACTGTGCAGTGAAGGTCGGCTTGTACTCGAATTTCACCTTCGATTCCTCCATGTTCTTCGGGATGTTGAATCGAAGGTCGGGCTCGTTTATGCACGTCCCCTCCAGCTCACACACAAACGTGTTGCTTGGTGCGACCACATCGATGGATTTCTCGATCAGCAGTCGTTTCAGGAGGAAATGTTGCAAGTTCGAGCTCCCAGGGATCTTGTAGTTCCTTCCTGTGAGCGCATGGACCACGCGCCACAGGCGATCGTTCTCGGTCACCAGCGCGCCTGCCGCCTTGCAGATCTCGCTAACCTTGTTGGCGATCGTCCCCAAGTCCCCTCTTCCACCATGGAAAGCAACATCGCGATTCTCGCACACCACGACCAGGCCCTTGCATGTGTTGACGAGGTCAGATATCGCCTTCTGCAGGTAGTCGATGATGGGGTTGGCGGTCACCTGCCATCCGCATCCTCTCATGCATACCCAATCATATAGCGACATCCAGATGTGCACCGACATTGGTGAGAAATCCATGTCTCGCCTCCGCCGTTCAGCGATGAGCTTATCCAGCTTCTGCAATCGGGAGATGATATTCAACGTGTCGTTGGGTGAGGAGACTTGCTCACTCGACCCATAGTATGATCTCTCCTCGATGTTTATCCATCCCTGTTCGTTGACCATCATCTGGAAGGTCTTCGTGCTCCCTTTCGAGTTGACGGCCCTCAGGGGCCAATCCTTAACCCCAACTAAAAAAGAACAGAACCCCCAAAAAAAACGCAAACCCAAGAAACATAACAGAACCAAGACTACTAAAAAAACAACTAGCCAACAGCAGTGAAGAATACCCTGGCCCAAAACCCAAGCCATCCTCTTCACCTGGCAACCTTCGCGCCTTGTCCTCGCAACACGCGGCCTCTGGGCACCTGGGATCTGCCGCTCCCGGAACCGCCGGCAGCGCCAGCGACACGGGAAGGAGGCAGGCGCAGAACGCACGGGACATGAGGTCCCTGTGGGCCAAAATATGTACCCCCAAATTGAAAACCCTGGGAAAAATGGAACAACTCCTGGTGCTTGAATTTTGACCCACACCAAGAAAGCCTGGTGAATGGACACAGATTCATAGAGGGGTGTCCCCGTAGTGGGGGTTGAACCACACTGAAACAAGTGGTCGGATGCGTAGACACGAGCATCAGATGTGAGAGGGCGATCTTCAGGTGTGCCCAATTGACATGGGATTTAAGCCACCCAATGACAATTTGCGGGAATTTCCCCAATGCAATCCGCAAAAGGTCGATTGACCGTTTCTCCTTTGAAAATTGGCTGCTTCAGGCCATGGAAAGTGCGGCAAACAAGGCGCTCTTTACATATAGACTTGCAATAAGCAAATGGACGTGCATTGTTTGAGGGCACCCTTGTTTGGGTTGTCAAAGGGAAGCCAAAGGAAAGTGAGGCCTATTTGGGGCCTCATTTGGAGACAAAGTCCTATGAGGTGCAAACTTTGAAGACCAAAACCCTTTTTGTTCCCTTGTTCCAAGGACCCGGAGAAATGGTCAACTCTTTGGGACCTGACACGGGCCAAAAATCAGAAAAGCGAAAGGTTCAACTCGCCGAGTGAGAAACACCATGCTAACTATGGCAAGCCAATCCATGGCTTGAGCCAACGGCAACAGAACGGATCCTATGCCACAATTTGCTTCCAGTTGTAATAAACCGAGGAGCACAAAGGCTGCGGGAACCTATGGCGCCACTCGTAGCAAGGCCCGGGCGCGGTGCGGGTCAAACTGGTGAACCCCTTTTGGTTGACATTCAAACCGCAAAGGGTCGGTTCACTGATGGTCTGAAAATCCTCATGAAGGGTTGAGGAGTAGCCTCCCAGAATTGTGCAAGCAAAGGAAGCTTGAGAAACCATAAACCTTGTAAACACGAGTGTAATTAGGGTGATCCTTGTTGCTTGCCAAGATTCCATCAGTTTGCCCCAAATCGGGATCCAGAACAAGAGAAGCCATAGCCAGTTGGTAATTAGGGCCTCAAATAAGTTGCGCTCTTGCGATTTCGGAATCCACCAGATGCCCTCCATGAAGCTTGTCCCAAGCCCTCTTTGCGTGGATTATAGCCTCAGGATGGCCCCGAGGAAACCCGGCGCCAACTTTCCACCCTTATGGTTTACACCATGGGTATTCCCTTAGTCCTCCAAGTGGGTGTTAACAGCGTTTCTCCCCAAACCCTGTCACCAAAAAAGAAAAAACAGGCCCTGGAAAAGGAAAAGGCAAGCTAAAAGGCTTCCTTCTTCCAAGTCTCTGCCCAAATATGGCTTGGCCATAGTCTTGAGCTTCGCGCCATGTAAAGCTCCATATCCACCAAGCCTTTCGCTTCAACGCAAAACCATTCACCTGGAACCCAAGTTGCCTTCAAATCCCGGGGTCCGAGCTCTTCGAGGCTTCCTCCGTTGTCTGTTATTTTTTGAAAACATATATATATATATATATTATATATATATATTTATTTATTTATTTATTTATTTATTTATTTATTTATTTATTTATTTATTTATTTATTTATATTTATACATAGTCGTTAAATATATATATATATATGTATTATAAAAATCCGAGTTGCAAGGGTCCCGGGGATCCCTGTCTTCGAGGCGTCCGAGCCGATTGTTTGGTACATCCGAGCTGCGAAGCGGCCCAGAAGAAGCCCCGAGCCGTACATGGCCAGCGTGGCGAAGGACGTGAGGGCCGTGTCCACGGAGCCTCGCAGAGGGATTTTTTGGCTCGCGATGGGATCGGTGGATCGGTCGGGCGGGCGGGCGCCGGTTTTTTTCTTTCTTGTGTGTGTGTGTGTTTGTGTGTTTTGTGTCGTTTGTCTAAAAGTGGTTGGTGTTTTTGCTTTTGGTGTTTCTGAGTTGCATTTTTTGCTCTGAAGATTGCACATGGTTGGTGGTTTTGGTGTTGTCCTAAGAAGTACTGGCTTCACATGGCTGTGCCAGGGAGATTCAACAAAATTAGGTGGGTCCTTTTGGTTTCCCTGCTACCTTCTGGATTTGGATGGTGAATCCCTCAAGAATGTTCAAACCAACCACTTTGATCACCCAATTTTGAGACACACCCATTCCTGTGGCAAATGAATGGTTCTCGTAACATCGCCCGAAACTGAGTGGCTCTTTCTCGCTTTTCGTTTTGAATCATCCAAACTGACTCACCCAACACGATGGTCCCCTAACAAATGGGCAGTTTCCTCTCGGCTTCACTTGAAAACCACCATCCAAGAAGGGATTCGGGCAGCCATTTGGAAGTGGTTGCCCCTCTCTATGATAACCAATGTGGCAAACGAAGCGCTAGATGCCCAGCCAGTCACAATAACTTTCTGATTTTCTCGAGAGACTCGCCCATAAGTTGCTATCCTGAAGCAACGGTTTCCCGAATCATACTGAGAGCTTCCCTCTATTGGTGGTTTGGATTGCTGGTGTGTCGGGGTTCCCAGTAACCGGGGTGGTGATTTCCCACTTACCTACCCTCAAGAACCAGGGACCCGTTCAAATCCCCAAACCACTCCAAGCCACCAATTTCGTGGCATCCGACTTTTGCCGCCTCGAGAAGAAAAAAACGTGAGCTCAAAGCTCAGAGTGCGCCTTACCCCGTGAAGATTTTTGGGTACCCGGAGGAGCCTCTGTAGCACGCATTCTTCTTCTTTGTGCATGGATTCAACCATTTGTTGGCAACACCAACATCCAGCAACACAAACCACCAAGTGCAATAGCCAAGCCTACCTCCACTCCCACTCCCTGAAAAAAGCATCAAAGTCACAAGAACCCTTTGCTGCCCTGTGGTTGGTGGAAAACGCCGTTTGGGAAGAAAATGCCCAAACCGACTGAAATGCACCAGTTGGCACCCCTCATATGTCTTAGGCTGGTGGCTTGGGACATGGAACCCTCAGAAGCAAAGAAACAACAAAAACCCCCTTTAGTCACTCACCCCCAACTAAACCAGTCTTGGATGGAAAATAACGAGTGTTTCCCGGCTTTTTCATGACGACCCGATTTCTGACTGACGCCCCGGTTCCCGTTCCCCCTCTCCGGCCTATCGCTGAGCGGTGCCGAGCGTCGGCCAACTCCTCGCAAAAATTCGACTGGGTGCCTCCCAGAATTGGAAACACAATTGGCAATGGACCCCCCTTTCTGCTTTTGTCGGCATCACTTTTCTTGACAGTGCCCCCTCAGAAAGTCAGAACCCCCCTCCCCCGCCCAAAAAAGAAAGAAGACAAAGTGTGGTTCTCACCCCCGAAAGCAAAGGAAGCGATTTTGGCGCATACCTACATACCAATGTCCAAAGATTGAGGATCCCTTCTTGAACGGTTCCAGGAAACCAACCGAAAATCACCCAACAAGGTGGGGATCCTTCAGGTTTTGCAAAATACACCTGCATGGCAATGACCAGCACATCTGCGCATTTACAGCCGGGGAACGCCTGGGTTGCTGGGAGGCGCAGAGGCTGACGCTCCAAAGCTACACCTGACCAAAGGGCCGCAGTTTGACTCCAAACTTCTGCAAGCACGGCGCTTGGTTCCCTTCGAGCTCGAGCCCCCAGAGCGGAAGCTCGGCACATGGAACGCCTCACCGCGACCCGTTCTGGGTCGGAAGGCCCGTTCTGGGCGGAAGATGCCAGGGTTGGGTGGAATACCGAGAAGGAAGTTCGGCTGCCCGGGATACTCTGATTGCAACAATCGCAACCTGTGAAACATATGGATGTTGCCATTTGTTGAGCGGCAGTTTGCACAAATTCCTACCCAACCGCTTTCCTTCAACTTTCGAAGCCTCGGAGATTGCCCGCAACACCGAGATTGCTGACCCCACAATAATCCCCCATAAAAATCAACCCCAGTTCATTACCAGGGGGTGTCCATTTCTGGGTTTAGTGGGGAATCAGACCACTTTTGGAGGGGACACCCCCTATGAATAAACTGGTTGGTTGATTTTTTTGGGGGTTCAACCTTGCCCCAGATACGGGTTGCTTCATCCTGGATCAACCTTCTGGAACGCAACCTACGTCTCCTGCTCCGTGTTCAGCACTCCCAGCTCAAAGCCATACAACCCTGGCCGCGCCAAACACCTCGGAGCGCTCAGTCTCCGAGACCTGGCCCCTGTTTTTCACTCGAAAGGCTTCAATGATCAAATCACGGCACGAAAACGGCGTACCCAGACATCATGCTTTGAAGGGCGGCATTGTGTGTGGTTGGGAGTGTCCCTTAACCTTGAAATAACCAGCCAGAGCGAATTGCAGGGCATGCTGGTGATGCTGGTGATGCAGGGGATGCGTCACCCGCATCGCCCGCATCACCGGCATCAACTAATGAGGGGCTTGAAGCAGGGGTTCAAACCCCCAAACCATCAATCCAAACCACCCATGAGTGACATACATTCCTTCCCAACAGCTGGGCTAAGTGGCGTGCTTCGATTCATTGACTTGGCTCGGTGTACCCCTCATTTGCTCATCAGCGCTCTCTTTCCTTAGTTTATGAAGCCGTCTGTTTTGCCAAGACACACGGCCGACATGAAGATCAGCAGAGGCCAGGTGAGCCCCCGCCCCTCCACCTTGGAAACAATCAAGTCCAAGGCAATTCACAAAAACTGGAGGCCAGCCATTCCGCGAAAATCAAAACCGAAAACTTCGACAATCCACAGTTTCCCCGGACGGAGACCTCCCCTGCATGTTGCATCTCCCGCGAGGCTCCGGATCACTTGATCGGCAGGAAACAGCCCCGCACAAAGGTTGTACTGGCTTCCGCGGCTCCGTGAGCAAACCACCGAGCCACATGTTGGTTGCGTGGGGAAAAAAGTGAGAGCAGAAACACGAGGGCCACAAGCCTTCCTGGTGCTCCGCAGGGAACGAGGGAATGACCCCTCTAAACCATCCAACTGGTGGTTTCCCTTAAGGGGACCCCTGGGTTCATTCCCACATTCCCCATCGCACCGATCGCAAGACCAGCGGTTGGAGAACCCCTTGCTTGAGTCTACCCGATCGCTCGCTCGGCTTCGCCTGGTGGTAGGCGCTCAGCGCCAGGAGGGTCATTCCCGCCAGCCACAGCACGAAGAGACCATCCCCGCAGCGGCCAAGGCGAACGCTGGCGGAGGAGTGCCTCAGAAGGCGGAAAGCCAAGACGGGCTGAAGGTTTCCATACGAGTCGTGTCAGAAAAGCCCTCGAAAACTCACGGTCTCTCCTTTTGGCTTCGCGAACTATATGACTTTAAAGGGTACCCTCGAAAATACATCTCGATTCCTGCGCCTGCCAGCCCCCCTTCTCGTCCACGAGCAATGTATGACGGGTTTTGCCCCTAAGAAAACCCACCATGGGTTCCTAGCCCAACTCAGGGCGATTCCCCAGCCCATTTGAGGATAAATCCTCCTCTGAGCGATTTCAGGGTCTAAACAATTGCAAACAGCATTCTCCCATTGCAATTGAAATTGGTATCGAACCTTACAAGCCCGTTCTAGATATTGAAGGCCCTTGTCCAACCCAAAAATATCAGTTTGCATTCTGGTCCAAATAACCCTGATAAAGAGATCACAGTATATACCAGTAGCATTGTAGCAGGCCAGCTTTTTGTTTGGGAGGCCCCTGCTCCAAGAAAAACCCAGCTCAACCCTAGGGAAATCCAAATATCATCTTCGTTTGGGTCTCTGGCCTTGAATGTCAACCGTTCTCCCAAAATAGTTGGCTTCATGGTGGTGCCCGTTTCAAACCAACCAATTTGTGCCCCAGAATCAGCAGATGATATGCTCCTTTTCAGTATGATAGCGATATTTTCCGTCTACCCGGACATATAATCCACAGGGGATGCACCCCCAAAATCTCGGACGGCCGAAAAATGGAAAAACCCGAAGGAAACCAACCAGCGGAGTCCACGATTTGAAGACAATACCGCGGATGGTTGCGACATCTTGCACCACCGAACTCAGAAACCCTGGTGTCTGATTCAACTCCTCGACGGAAATACCAACAAACGATGGTTTCAACCATAGATTCAACAAATGGGGCTCATTTCCGACAACGCGGATGAAGGACTTCATGTTAAGGAGAACAATCAAGATCAAAGTATGCAACTCCCAAGGCACCACGGTAGCAATCGACAGACCCATGCGCTCAAACACTGTTTTGAAGGAGACTTTCAGGGGGGTCACCAAGAAGACGCGCCACATTTGTTGCCCATGTTTGAAAAGCCCCAAGAAAACACTCAATTGAGTCATCTGCGTTGGCATTTGTTGAACCTATGGTTGAAACCAGAAGGTTTGTTGGTACGAGGAATCAGAAACCCCGGGTTGAGGGAGGAGAACCCCCGGAAAACTCCCCGAAATTTCCCCGACATTGGACACACGGCACATGGAGCTTCCCACGCCAGGCCGCGCCATGACGCCCAGCACGCCCAGCAGCGCCCCAGCACCCCTGGCGCGGTTTTTCGCTCGCGAACAGCGAGCCGTGGGAAACGGACGAAGATGGGTGTGGCATTCAAAATCAAAGAGCTAGGGTATGCAGGTTTAGTTTTTGTCTCCATTTACCAGGGTTCCATTTTGGGTATTCCACAGCCACATGGAGCCCAGAAAGGGGTTCAGCGTTTTAGAGGAATATCCGTTTAGAGGATTCATCCTTCACGTGCTTTTAGATGAATTACCCGCACCCCCCCCCAAGTTGGGCTGGAGGCGATTTTGCAGGGGAGAAAAGAAAGAGCCAAGGTTCCCACACCCATTCAAGAAAGCTGAGGCCCGTGCTATTTTCGGTTGGGGCTTCAAGTCCGATTTGAGAAACTGTCTTTTTCAGGGAGGGCCCTTTTTGTGGTGGAAGGAAAACCACCCTAGAAGCCAGCGACGTGCGAAGGGACGCCAAGGGGTCGAACCTAAGATCCACTCGCTCCGGAAACGGAACAGCCGGGGACAAGCACTGGGTGAAAAGGTCGCCCACAGTTCTTGCATCACTCCGGGTTCTCCAACAAATCCTGCTCAAGTTGTTTCTAATGCACCTCAGGGGAGGGTTCACCTGCCTCATTTGAACCCACAGGCTCGAGTCGCGACACCAACTCCCCAGCGGCCTCAGCAGGGAAAGTTGCCAACTGGGCACGCCTTGCTGTGCCAAGTGGGCAGTGAGGAAGGCCCCATGGGGCGACAGCACCGTGAGGTAGAGCAAGGAGTAGGAGAGGCCCAGGAACCTCTCGATGGGTATGGTTTGAAGGTGTTCCATGCTCTCAAGAGCCATGCTTGCGGGAATGTGGCGCATGTCTGCGATACCATTTAGTGGGATGTCCGTCATGACAATCTTATCACTTGAAAAGGGGCCTCTCAAAGCGATATCACCGTTGATTCCCAGCCAAGGACCATTGCATCATCGGGTTTTCTAGTTGAGTGCCCGAAACCCGAGCTGATTGCTGGTTCTGCCGCAGTCATGAAGGTTGATTCTAGCTCTGACCCCAAACCAACCGAACCACCTACCAAAATGGCCTCAACTGGGACCCTGAAACTCGGCTCCCCGTCTTTTTGTTGCTCCTTTAAAAGCATCCAATGGGTTCCCTAGTTTCACACAGACGCGCTCGGCTTGTGTTGAATGCGCGCCTTGCCTTTGTGAATTTGAAAGCCGAGCGAGGCCTGTTTTTGTAGAATGAAACGTCATCGACGCGGTGTTGGAAAATTAGGAGTACAAATTAAGCTCAATGCAAATAGCGAAAATGCCGTGACGGAATACAAAGCCCCAAACTGTTCCAAGGTCCTCAGCGAAGTGTCGAATACGTCCACCAAAGTGAGATCCCTAAAAATGACCTGAATACCCTCCCCACCTCAAAAATGGGGTTTAAATCAACCCCCCCCCCGAACCCACCTCCACCATTTTTGGGTTTACCCGATGTTTCACTGCACCTGGGCCACAATCAAAACCCGGCTAGATGAAGGTTAGTAAGGGACAATCCCAATACATAGCTGCGGCCTTCTTAAATCTTTACATGGTTCTGGGTAGACCATTTTCATACCGGGCTAATTATTAGGGGGAAGAGATTACATGGTTCTGGGTAGACCATTCTAATGCCAGGTTTTGGTTGTGACTCACCTACTGGTGCCATCTGTGTCGCATCCGAGCCGCTGGATGCCGCTGGGGTGGTGCAGCCAGGCAGTCCAGGCGCCGCCCTGAGCTGGACCAACATGGCGCAGCCGTTTTTGTTTTTGTTCCCCCCTCTTTCTTTTTTTTTCGGTTTGTTTGGTGGGTCTTCAAGGGGAAACCAAATTGAAATCGGCCATTTCGGGAGGGGGGAGGGAAGGTCTTCAAGGGAAACCAAATTGAGAACGGCCATTTTTTTGGGGGGGGGGCTCGATTCCTAAAAAAAGACACACCCGCGATAAATCTTGAAAACGTGTTGGAAGTGGCGAATCTGTGGATCCATTCCTGGAGATTAAAAGACTAGCAAAAGACTACAAAAACAAAAATGGGACCAACAAAAGGAAGACGAAATCCACCCCTGTTTCGACCCATCCAATTTGGAGTCTGGAGTTGAGGTCGCCCGTGACAGGGTCAAAAAAAGCGCATCCAAACCGTTTGCGAGAATGGAAGCTCCCAGGCCTCTGTAAATGCAAGTCTTCCAAAGGAGTCCTGGGAGCGTCCATGGTCGGTACAAAATGCTGGCCAAGGAGATTGGTGGGAAATGACCCGAAAACTGTGAGAATGTTGACCCCTGATTAATCAAGGGACCTTCTTGGGGATTTGTTTCAGGGGGCCATGATTGCTTCACTCCAATAGCGACCCCAAAGCAAACCAGCCCTTGCCGCCAAAATCCGACTGGGGCCGAAGGAAGCTCGGACCCAAGGGGGAAAAAAGAAACAAGGGCTCTGAGGTTTCTTTGTTTTATTTTTGCTTGCGCAAGGGGATGCATCGTCTTTGGGACGCAGCAGAAGTTGGAGAGTTTTCAGAAATTCGGAGTTTTTTGACAACCCCTCACAAAGTGCCCTGCATACATGTCTTGTAGCCTGGTCTTTGTCCAGAATGAGAAGTCAGGCGTCACCTGCAGCATGTGCCACTTGCTCCGGGGGGATTGGCGGTTTGGAAGTTAGGATGGCTTGCCCCTTTGGTTTTACCAAGGGCTCGAAACCGTAAAAAAAAGTGGCCTGAAACTTGAAGCAACGCACAATATGCATCTTTTAACAGGAGTGCGCAATTCCCTGTTTCCTCTTGGTGATTGGTGAGTGTACGATGACTGGCCGGGAAGCTTTTCGGATGGAACCAGGGAAAATCCGATATGGCTTAAGAGATCCTGATTGAAAATGCCAAGATCTTTGAATGCATGACACCTTAAAACTTGACCGACCGATGAAGGATTCCCGCATAAGCAAGCAAATCCTGCCTTGCCTTAGGTCTGGAAGCCCATTTTATTTTGGGAAGGACACCTACCCTCCCACCAACTAACATGGAACCTGACAGGGGGGTCCTGGAAGATACCTTTCCTTTTAAAGGGACCCCTGTCAGGTTCCATGTCAGTTGGTGGGAGGGTATCCTTATAAGAAGCCTTTTATCTTATTTTTGGGGGGGGGACGCCGCCTATGTTGAGACCAGCCTTGAGCACCAGAGGGTTGGCCTTGCGCTGCACCTGGCGTGGGCGTGGCCCAAACCACCGCCGAAATCAAGCCGCGGATTTCGGTGAAGTCTGGGAATCCCTTCCCCCTAATACCCCCCCCCCTATTCTATGTGTTTTTTTTTTTTTTTTTAAGGAGAAAAACAAATCTTCCCGGCAAGTCATGTGTTATTCTTAGGGAGACCTTTATCAAGAGGGGGAAGAGACTGTTTTTGCCAGGGCGTGCATCAAAACCAGGGTATTCTTGTTTACCAACTGTGAACTGGCAAGTACTTTTTGCAGCATGATTTATCCTGGTTGGAAGCACGAAAGAAACCAGGACCCAAATGCTTAAAAAGAGCCGTATGCACTTCTCAAGAACATTGGGCCAGGTCCAAGCCGACCGATGGCGAACCCGTCATAGCATTGGGCCCAGTGGAAAATACCAACCCACCCTCTCCCTCCTGAGAACCTCTGCCTTCCAGACTCTCCCAGAATTCATCAGCGCTGAGCTGATGAATTGGCGTATCACCCATCCTAGACCCTTACTAATCCGCAAGCTTCTGCTTGAATCCACTGTCCGAATGAGTGCCTCAACACTTTCTTCTTGACTTCCCATTGAGGACATGGGTATGAATCGAAAATGGATGCCCTGTGGGCAGTCGGGGATTTTACAACCACAACCACGAACTGTGGAACGCCAAATGGGACCTGTGTCGGATGCCGATCCAAAAGGGGTCCCGAGATGGATGGTTCACCTATGGAGTTTGGATAGGGGGTGTCACATTAGGATAGGATCCGGATTTGTTGTTTGGATTACGTACTTCTTGGGGAAGTTGCATCCGCTTGCGCGGGTTGTCTTTTAATGGGACCCCCCCCCCGCAGAGAAAAAAAAGGGGGATTGCAAAGTCGTTTCCCATGACCCTTATAAATCCACCCACTGATTGAATCCAGAGTCGACATGACTTCCGTGCGAAATAACATGGAACCCAAAAAACCATCATCTGCTATTGGGTCCCAGACTCAGGACCCCTGCTTGGGTTTAGTTTGCAGGGGAGTCAATGCCCCACAACCCCATTCTAGTCATTTCAGCCCTTGTCTACCTCAGTATGTCCCCCCAAAACCCCTGCACTAATAACCACAAGGCCAGCTGCAGCCAGCACACATGCAGTGCACTGACTGCAGCCAGCCCCATCCCAGACACAGAATGCATCAGGCATTCACTTCTTGGAAGGGTGGGTGGGTGGGTGGGTGGGTGGGTGGGTGGGCGGGCGGGTGGGTGGGTGGGTGGGTGGGTGGGTGGGTGGGTGGGCGCTTTTGACAAGCATTCCTACCACAACCCAAACCTTGCTGCTTGAGCTGCACACATACAGAAGAAGCAACAAGCCAACAACATTTACTGGGGCAAGGCAGAAGCATAAGAGTTTGAGCGGTGCACTGGTCGTATCCCAGCCCACCCCAGCGCACCCCCCTCACCCCAAAAAGCGGCTTGGCTCTGGTGCATAAGCTGCGCTTTGGACACTTCGAGCACTCACGCCGGCGCGCCTCCTCCGCTCGCAGGGGCTGAAGCTTGGCCTCCCGCGCCGCGAAGATCTGCAGCAGGAGCCGCAGCTGCGGCAGGAAGGAGGCCGCGTTCAGCAGCCTCTGCCAAGCTTCCGAGCCGAGAGCGTTCAACCGGTTTGGCTCGTTTGGTTGGTACGATCGTGGTTTGGCGCGTTTTTCAAGTTGGCTGGTCGGTTGGTGGGACGGTGGTGGGTCAGTGGAAGCTGGCTGGTTGGGGGCGGTGGGGAGGTTGGTTGGTTGCTTGCTTGTTTGCTTGGTTGCTTGGTTGCTTGGTTGGTCGCTTGGTTGCTCGCTCGCTGGCTTGCTTGCTTGCTTGCGTGTGTGCCTGCCTGCCTGCCTGCCTGCCTGCCTGCCTGCCTGCCTGCCTTGCCTGCCTGCCTGCCTGCCTGCCTGCTTGCTTGCTTGCTTGCTTGCTTGCTTGCTTGCTTGCTTGCCTCGTTGCTTGGTTTCTTGCTCGCTCGCTTGTTTGCTTGCATGCTTTCTTGATTGGTTGCTTGATTGGTCGCACGCTCGCCTGCGTGCTTGCTTGCTTGGTTGTTTGGTTGCTTGGTTGCTTGCTTGGTTGGTTGGTTGGTCGCTTGCTTCCTTGTTTGTTTGCTTGCTTGCTGGCTGGCTTGCTTGCTTGCTTGTTTGCTTGCTTGCTTGCTTGGTTGCGGTTGGTCAGTCGATTGGTTGATCAGTTGATCGGTTGATCGGTTGAACGGTTGATCAGTTGGTTGGTTGGTTGGTTGGTTGGTTGGTTGGTTGGTCGGTTGGTCGGTCGGCTGGTTGGTTGGTTGGTTGGTTGAAGTTGGCTGGTTGGCTGGCTGGCTGGCTGGCTGGCTGGCTGGCTGGCTGGCTGGCTGGCTGGCTGGCTGGCTGGCTGGTGCTGGCTGGCTGGCTGGTTGGTTGGTTGCCCAGTACCTTCTGTCCAAAGCAAGATGGAGCCCAGGGGCCCCAAGCAAATCTCTTTTTGTTCCAATAGCCTTCAGTATCATCCGGCGGGCGGGAACGGCGGCGGGGTGTTCAATCAAGAGCGTCTTCTCCCGCGGTGTGGGTGTGACTATTTCTTTGGGGTGGGGCAATGCAGTGGACATGTTTGTCCATCAACCATTGTGGCGGGGTCTATGCGAGCCAAGGAACCCGACCATCACAAAGCCCGCCCTCTCAGGCGGCAGACCAGGAAGATGCAGCGATGGCATGATCAGGAGCCTGCAACAAATTGCAAGTTGCCCATCCCCGTGTTTCGGGTTCCATGACGGGTTGCCTTCGTATACGTTGGAAGGACAACCAGTGTCCTCCCATTCATGGAGGTTTGCAAAGGACTTCTGGAACACCCATCTTCGCAAAGCTGCCAGGCTACTTCCTGAATCAAGAGCAAGTAAGGCTTCCCAGATTGGTGTAAACCAAAATGGTTGATAGAATTCATCCGAGCCTTGAACATCTGCTTCCCGGATTAGTGGTCCTTCGCTGGAAAAGCACCCTTCCACGTGTTGATATCCTGCACTCCCCTCGACTCCCAGCCGCGGTGCCCAGCAATGAAAGGGCCCACGGTCTCGCTGGCCAGATCGATCTGCGACATCATGGAGTTGGTGCCTTCGATGAAAACCCACCTTTGGGAAGGTCCCATTTTGCAGGTCTTGAGAGGAGCACCTTAGCTCCAAAGAAGAAGGGGCTTTCCCTAAAAGGTGTAGCAACTCTCATTTCACTGTTGGACTGACGGTCGTGTCCTTTCTCTCCAAATGGCCATGCAACCCAAAACCAGCTAACCCTGATGGTGAGGTTTTGTGGGCTTACCTGGCACCAAGGGGTGCAAATCCACATCCAGCTCCCACCAATCCAACCCCATTGAGGGCTGTGTTAGGGTTTGTTTAAAGGCAAGCCAAAGCATAAAGACTTTCTTTGCTTCGAACCATCCCCGCGTAAGAGCTTTGTTTGCCAATGGGTGTTGCCGGTGAGAAGCACCAAGAGCTAGCAAAGGCCACAAAATGCCCGGTGCGCCGAAAAGAAAAATACATAAATAAAATAAATAAATAAGTAAACAAAAAAAACTGGGGAACACTTGAGCCACGGTCAATCTATGTGGATATCATACATCCCCTGGTCTGTGTGGAATATCTAGTGCATCCCCCCCCGGCACGTTCCTCCCAAATGAACCAACACATCTGGATAGTGAACAAACCTCACACGTGTGCATCTTCTGGAGTATCCTTTGCTGGTCGTTTCAGAGGGAAACAATGGAAACTGCCCAAATTGGGACCACCATCGGGAGACAACCCGTGGTTCCCTTCAAAAAAAATGCCCTGAGGCAACTCACTTTTACAGGGGCAAACTCGAAAAGAGTACCTTCAAGTTCCCCTATGTTTGTCAGCCGCTCATATGAATCAATATCAAAACCTGGTCTTAAATTGGTCTACCCAAATCCATGCAAAAAAAGTATGAAACAAGTAAGCAAACAGACAGACCGACAAACAATCAAACAAACAAACAAACAAACAAACAAACAAGCAAATAAACGAATCAATACATAAAGACAAATATATATATATATATATGTGTGTATGCACATGTTATAAACATACACAAAAAGCAGCCGCGCCTATTTGTAGCTAGGACTATCCCTACCTTCGTATACCAGAATCGGTTTTGATTGTGTGACTCATATGGCCAACAAAGGAAGAAGATGTATGGGTGTAACCTTTTTGAGGTTTTCCAGATTCAAAGGAAGACCAAAAGGAACTATCCCAATATGCATATCAGAATCAGCCACTTGATTAAATATTTGTATAGAATAATAATTCTTATCCAAATGTTCAGTTTCAAATTCAGCAATAGCAGACTCGAAAGTCTTCACGCAAAAAAACACACAATAATATCACCCACCATGTTTTAGGTAAATACAACCACCATTATTTAGGATGTCCATCCTCCAAATTGGGTCACATGGGTGTGGCTCAAAATTAAACAGGAGGGGCAAACCGCGGGTTTTGGTCCATGTTTCCACTTACCAAGGGCAACCCATTTTGGAATTCCGCTTTTTTGAGCCACTGCCACATTGTTTTAATGGGGGTTGCACCCCAGGGACCATTTAAACTCCATTTAACGCCAAAATTTCTGGGGACTACGGGAGCGCCGAGGAGTCGAGCAGCGCTTGAGCATGTCGCCCTCAAAGAGGCGCGGCGCCCACTCCCGCTTCACAGACACGTCGCTCAAAGCGGCACCCAGCTTCTCCTAAGTTGGCCAAATGGCCTTGTCTCTTAATCAAGATGTGTGGTTTCCTTTGGGTTTCTCAAAAATGGGTTGTGTTCTTTTGGTGGCCTAAAAATAGCCTTTGGCTGCTTAAATAATGTGTTGATTCTTGTTGGTTGCTCAAAGATGGGTTGTCTTCTGTTGGCTTCTGAAAGGTGGGTTGTCTGTTCGGCTGCAGTAAAATCGGGTGCTTCCTTTGGGTGTCTTTCTTTTGGCTTCTCAATAGTGGGTTGTTTGTTGTTGGTTTCTCGAGAATCGGCTGTGTCCTTTTGGTGGGGAGTGTCCTTTCGATTCTGAAAAGCAAGCTTGTTTTCTCTTGGCTTCTCTAAAGTGGCTTGTTTCTGGTTGGTTTCTTAAACATGGGTGGTCTTTTTTAAGAAAGATGTGTCTTTGGGGTTTCTTACAAATCAGTCGCTTCATTTTGGCTTCCCTTTACACCATCCAACACAGCTTCTTCCCGAGAAAAATCTGTCCAACTGATCCGGACTCCAGGTATGGCACCTTCTTGAGCCGGCTTCACTTCACGATGCGATCAGATTGCAGAAATACTGTGGATGGTGACGCGAAATCCAGAAATAGCACCACCGAACTCAGAAACCCTGGTTTCTGATTCGAGTCCCCAACGTAAATACCGCCAATGGTTTCAAAGTGGTGCGATTTCTGGATTTTGCAACCATCCAGTGGAACATGCTTCCTCAGCCTGGGGCTGGCTACTGGCTCATGAGTTCCGCCGCGAACATTTGGCGCCTCGGTTTCCCTAGAAGAGGAAGCCGGATCAACAGGACCCCGCACGTTTCCTCCATTGCAAAGTCGGCCATCCCCGTTGGGTTTTTCCATCGAACTGTTTTTCGGCGCGACCCTCGCGACCTCTTGAATACCAGGGACTCGCTCTAAAACACTCGCTGTGGTTCACCTCGGGGAGCTACGGTGGATGGTGACGCGAAATCCAGAAATCGCACCACCGAATTCAGAAACCCTGGAATGATTCGAGTCCCCAACGTAAATACCAACAAACAATGGCTGCCCATGGTTTCAGAGTGGTGCGAAATGGATTTCGTCCACAGTATGTCCATTGAATTCTCTGGCAGCCATGCAAACAGTGCCTTTCTTCTTGGCTCAGGTCAGAACAAGCTGGAACCGAAAGCACGCTGCCTTGAGGTTCTTTCTGTTTTGGGGGGTCCAAAATTTGTAAAAGAAAAAGGAGAGACACGCCCAAATACGACGCTTTCCTTACTTGGCCTTTGCTTGAAAACCAACTGTCTTCCATGTTAAACGCTTTTGTTTGTTGTTTTTTGCTCGAAAAGCCCATCTCTTCCATGGTGTTTCACCCCATTTTCTGAGTTTCTCACAATGGTCGACCCCCTTGTAATTCAAAGGCAAACCAACAGGCGACCACCTGCTTGGAGGGGTCCCCAATCTTGAGAAACCTATGGTCAGACCGTCAGAAAGACCCACATCTGCACCAAAAAAAGATCGGGCCGGAAGCATAGGTGGCCTTTTGGAAAAGTAGATGGGTTCCCCTGGTAAATGGTTGATAAACCCCACCTAAACCCGTGGAACCCATCTATTTTTAGCCAAACTCAACTGAAAAAAACATCATCCTCTAGCAAAACTCGCCTAAAAACCAAACCGGTTTTCTCCTAAGACACAGAACCGCCCTCGGTTTTTTTCGCCGAACGAACACCGATCAAAAGATCGACACTTTTTTGCCGCAGGTTCCAGCACGCTGAAGCCGCTGAAGGCCAGCAAAGCGCCCCAGTCGCTGCCCTCGGCTCGAAATCGAACTCGGAAACCCAGCGAAGTTTCTGAGTCTATTCCCCGTAAAAATTAAGAGGGAAAAACAAAAAAGAAAGCAAAAAAAACAAGGTATGGTGTTTCACGGTTTCAACCATAGCTTCAAAGTGGTGTGTTTGCCTAAGTCAAAGGTTCAAGGCCCCCGAGAAAAGAAGAAGAAAAAAAAAGGAGAAATACCAACTTTAAGGTCCACCAAACTACCAACTTTAAGGTCCACTTGAAAACCTTTGCCCAACTTGGGTCCCCTGAAAAAAAAAACAAGAAGAAAAAAACGCACGTTCTGGCTTTGGTTTCAACCATAGCTTCAAAGTGGATTTTTTGCCTTGCCCGAAGTCAATCGGGTACCGCTTTGTGAGAAAATATGGTAGGGTAACCCCAAGATGGGTTACCCTGGTAAATGGAAACCTCCGGACTAGAACTAACTTTCACCCCATAGCAATCTGAGTTGTTATCTGACCCTAAGAATCTTGGGACCAAACTCCAAATGCTTAGGTTATGAAAGTCCCAACCCTTTGCCAATGTCCAAACTGGTCCAGCTAACCACACTTGAGGGAGGTTTCAAGGCCGAGCCTGGCCAATCAAGTCATGTGGGGCTCCGAAACCTTACTAACAGTCACCCCAGATCCAATCGAGTTGGGCGGGCCAAAGACTTGGGCTGCCGCCAAAGGCAACCAACCAAGGTCAAGAGTCTCTATACTACTTTGGTATTTCCCGAGGTTTCTACCTGCAAATTGCAGTGGCTCCCCCCACTCGAACTGCCCACCGAAACGAACATGTGGTCAAACCAGGGGCCCGCAGAATCCACCACGAGAGGGGAATCACGGCGTCACTCTGCTTGAGCTCGGCATCAGGAGAGTGGGGTTGCAACCGAGTTGAGGAGCATTCATTTGGCGGTGGCTCAAAAAAGTGGTACCAAAATGACACCTTTCTAAATGGAGACCAACAGCAAAACCTGCGTAACCCTAGGTCTTTAATTTTGAGCCACACCCATTTCGGTGGCAATCTGCTTACAGCCGGGTCCTTCAAGCCTCAACCACCCGGCGAGAAAAAGACAGACTGCCTCTTCAGGAAGTGCCGCCGGTCACGGGCCGGCTGAATTTTTTTTAGAACCCTCAGGCAGCAACAAGGCTGGGACGATATCCATTGTAGTTGCGGAAAAAAAGGGGAGGAAAAAAAAAAAAAAAGAGAAACCTGACGCCACTGCAGATACGAGCTGCAACAACTGAACCTTGCTACAAGTGCGTTCTTTGTGCTTTGGCTCAAATGTTGTGACGGCCGTTGTGAAGCGTGTGGTTTTATCACAGCGCAACAGGGGCCTGGCAGCGCCTTTGGTCATGAAGGATCTGTGTTCTTTGTGAGTTTCTTTAGACATGGCTGTGGGTCAAAACCCAGGAAACCCCTGGTGAACGTAAAAATAGCTGGCAAATGGATGTTCATCCACCCCAACATGGAGCCATAGGTTTTGCCCCATGGCCACATCTGTTTTCCACCATGAATCATACTTGAGTTTGGCCAGCACCTCCCACCACAAGACCGTCACACCTGTTCTGGAAGCCGTCAGCTGTCAGAGATTACAAACCGAGTTGTAATTCCTTCCCGAACCTGTGGACTATAAGATATGGTACCCCACGGGTTGACTGTTAAGATAGTGACACGACCTCCAGAGCTTACCTCTGCCCCCACCCAGCCCGACCTCCACTTTCGACAGCAAAAGCACCGCTGTGGCGCCCAAAACCGCCACCGCCTCCGGTCGAACCCCACATGGGAAGCAGGTAACTTGCTGGTTCGGGGAAGAAAGAAAAAAGCGTGGTCTTTGGAATAAAGGATAGGGATCCCGCTGAACAGAAACCACCAATGCGATGGCTCAGCTTGGGGTCATTCCCTCATTTCCCTGCCAGCTACATAAAGCAACCACACACAATACTCGTTGGCTGCCACTCATGGCCCCAAAATTGGTGGTCTATGCTTAGTTTGGGCATGGGAGTCAGCCCAAGAACTTGCGCCAAAACCCACAAGCCGCCAAAGACCTTCCCATGCCCTCTTGCGGAAACTGGTAGAATTTGTCTGGAGCTCGCATGGGCGTGTTGCAAGAACGCGAAACTCCTGAAACCAAACGACACATTCACAGGCAAAGGTTGAATCCGATGATGTGCCTCGATGAAATCTGCATTGAAACTTCTTGCAAAAGGGGGGGTTACCTGATTCATCAAAGGGCACCAAACCCGGACCAAACCCCTTTTCAACTCGTTTCCAAGCGCCCGTTGATTCTTTGTGGGCGCTGCAAGAGCTCCAATCTAATCTGGGTGTGAGCTCTGCTCATTGTCAAAGGATGGGTGCTCCAAATGAGGTCTGCGAAAAAATACTTCCTCTGACCCTTGACAACCGTAGGGCTGAAGGCTAAGGCTTAATGTCACCAACCAATGCGGCCACGCGGTACCATCACAGTTGACGTGTCGCGTAGTTTGAAGGGGGGACTGTTGGGCTTGGAAGAGCAAGTTAGAAAAGGACCAGTTTGGGTAAATGTCAAAAGCCTGTGAAAGCCAAGGCTATCCCTTTTTGACACATAGCCATGGCCCGCCTTCTGAACAATCAGAACAGTTGCTCTCAAGATTGCCCTCCCTCCCACGAACATGGCAACTGACACAGGGCATTCGGTGGAGGAAAATCATCTTCTGGGTACCCTCCATAGTCGTCATGCTTGTTGGAGGGTCATGCTTGTTGGAGGGAGGGAGCAGTTGGTGGTTCTTGTCCATCAGTAAACCCCGCACTTGAAATCGGAATGCACACATTCTCATCACAGTCCCACCCTTCCCCCGGCTCGTGCGAAACTGGCTGTGTGTGTGTGTGTCCTACGATTCCTTCTTATTGGCTAACCAAAGAAAGTTTAGCAAGAACTTCGTCGTACTAGAACAAAATGAGCCAGCTCGCTCAAAGGATTCACCTTCCGTAATCTTTAAGAACAGATGCTCCGTGAAGAAACTAGGAAAAAGCTGGAACCGGAGCTGGTAGCTTGCGCGGAGCGGTCTCGGCGCCTTGCCCATGGGCACGGACGCGCGCACGCGCTTTTCGCAACATCAATTTGTGCGGCAGGCGCAGCACTTTCGCAAGTTCAAATAGATATACAGACAGATAGATTAGATTAGAATGAATTAAATAGGATAGGATGGGATAGGATAGGATAGGATGGGATAGGATGGGAAAGGATGGGATAGCATGGAATAGGATGGGATAGCATGGGATAGGATGGGATAGGATGGGATAGGACAGGGTAGGGTAGGGTAGGATGGGATAGATAGATAGGTAGACAGATATGGATAGATAGATGGATAGATAGATAGATGGATGGATGGATGGATGGATGGATGGATGGATGCATGGATGAATGGATGGATGGATAGATGGATGGACGGATAGATGGATAGATACATACATAGATAGATACATAGGTGATTGATTGTTTGGACTAGACTGGATTGAGTAGATGGGTTAAATTAGATTAGACTGTTAGATAGATGCATAGACAAGAGGGATAAGGCAGATAAAATAGATGAGATAGATCAGATATATAAGCTAGACAAGATAGATAAGATATACCAACACCGATAGATATGATAGAAATTCACACAGACAGACAGACAGACAGACAGACAGACAGACAGACAGACAGACAGACAGACAGACAGACAGACAGACAGACAGACAGACAGACAGACAGACAGACAGACACAGACAGACAGACAGACAGACAGACACAGACAGACAGACAGACAGACAGACAGACAGACAGACAGACAGACAGACAGACAGACAGACAGACAGACAGACAGACAGACAGACAGACAGACAGACAGACAGACAGACAGACAGACAGACAGACAGACAGACAGACAGACAGACAGACAGACAGACAGACAGACAGACAGACAGACAGACAGACAGACAGACAGACAGACAGACAGACAGACAGACAGACAGACAGACAGACAGACAGACAGACAGGCAGGCAGGCAGTCAGGCAGGCAGGCAGGCAGGCAGGCAGGGAGGCAGGCAGGCAGGCAAGCAGGCAGGCAGGCAGGCAGGCAGGCAGGTAGAAAGGTAGGTAGGTAGGTAGGTATGTACGTAGAGTTGCAAGCAGATAGATAGACAGTCAAATAGATAGATAGATAGATAGATAGATAGATAGATAGATAGATAGATAGATGGATAGATACATAGATAGCTTAGATAGCTAGATAGATAGCTAGATAGATAGCTAGATAGATGGCTAGATAGATAGCTAGATAGATAGATTAGACAGGATAGGATAGGATAGGATAGGATAGGATAGGATAGATAGATCGATAGATAGATAGACAAATAGCTAGCTAGCTAGATGGACAGATAGATAGATGACTAGTTCGGAAAAAAATAAGAAGACAAAACTAAGCTTCGAATTTGCCTTTTAAGCCAACCTCCCCAACGAGAAGTCCCCCTTGACCTCTTTACCGCTCCTTCGCCTCGCGACGCGCTTCGCCTCACGGCTCGCTCGCGCCTGCGCGGCCACGCCCAGCGTCACCGTGGTTTTGCGGCAGCTGCGGTCCGCCCAGGCGCCCAGCGGGGGACTCAGCAGCGAGGTGCCCAGCGTGGTGCAAAGTCCCCAGAAGGCCGGGCCTGGCGGAGCTCCGAAGAAAACAAAAAGCGGCGCCTCGAGTGGCGCGGTGCTTTTTCTTTTTCCATGTCTTTTTCCCACTACAGTAAACCCTTTGGCCTCATAGGCTTGTTTGTCCATGGTTTTTCCATGGCTTTTTCATCACTGTTCATGGCTTTCTTTCTTCATAGCGGTTGGTGCTCTCTTTCTTCTTTTTTAACGAGAACCGTAAAACCAGTCACCCTTCACAAGGCTGCCCCTTTTTCTGATCTGGGCGGATGGAAGCTGAAAAGATCCTGGTCCAGTTTCCACGGTCGCGTGGCAAGCCGGTTCCTGTTGGGTGTGCTCAGTAGGGAATGCCCCGTTCGGGTGTTGGGAATGACCCGGTTCCCTTAAAGGAGACCATAGATGATGGTTCATAAGGGTCATTCCCTCATTCCCTGCTGAGAATGAGAAAGAATGGCGAAACTCGACCTTGGTCAATATTGATCTAAACAACCACACCCTGCTTCCCAGAAAAAAAAAAAGAAAAGAAAAAAAAACTGAATCTCTTTCAACACGTGTTTTGATCTCTTGACGAATTGGCCGTTGGTTTCGGTTGTGGCTTCAGTCGATTGGGTTGCGAAAAGCGGCGGAGAGAACCCCCCAGAATCTCCAGCACAGTCTGCCAGACAGGGCTCCTTGTGGATGGTTGAGAAATCCATCTCGCAAAACGCAAGGAAACTATATGGTGCAAACCATGTTTTGCTGGTATTTACACTATATAGGGGAATAATCAGAAACCAGGGTTTCTTAGGCGGTGCGAAGTGGACTTTGTCCATCCACCCTAAAAAAAATGACCCCACAAAAATCATGTGTTTCCCCCCCCCCCCCAAAAAAAAAAAAAGACGTCTGCAACACAACGGCGGCAAGGTCCCAAGTTTACACCATCAACAAATAATACAAAAACAATAAGAGGAAGCAAAACAAAGAAGAAACCAAAAAATAGAGAAACATATGAAAAAGAAAAAAGAACCCGCGCCTAAGAGCTGGCCCGGGGTGAACCTCAGCAGCACCAAGGGCGCAATGAAGAGCCAGCCCTGGGTCGCCAGCCTGCGACTTCCCCGCGACCGACCCGGGAACTTTTTGGTGAAGAAAAAGGCGACCGGTGAGTGGGTCAAAAGGGAAAGCACACGGAAAATTCAATTGTGCTTCTCTTTGCTGGTGCGATGGGTAGGGAATGAGTGGGAATGAACTAGTTTTCTTGCTGGTGCGATAGGTAGGGAAGGAGGGAATGAACTTGGGGGTCCCCTTAAAGGAAACCCCAAGGGATGCATATTCTTCCCTGCTGAGCACCGGCAAGTCTGGGCGGTTGGGAGAAATGAAAAGACCCACACACAAGGGAAAACCCCCGACTCACAACAAAGCTTGACGTGGGAGCATGGATCTGGTCGGTCATGAATTGGCGGTTTGGAGAAGTGGCTTGCATAGATTCGAACTCCTGGTTCCGCTTGTAACTCACCTAGAAAGCTGGCGCTGTGACGCTCCTGGTCAAGAATCTGATAATTGTAGCCAAGATTCACCATATCTTCAAAAGAGAGGGGCCAAACGTTTGAGCTAAGCTTGCCGTTTTTCAGTACACAAAGCCTTCAATGGCTAGTTCCCTTCTCGGTTTTCTTTGCAGCCACAAGGGTTCCCTATTCTTGGAAATACTCATCGTCATGTCACCTTTCAAGGATGTGTGAAATGCGTCTTGGTTCAACTTCCGCAGCCATATTTGGAGGAATCCCTCATGAACTGCAAGGTTGTCCATTGCAGTTTGCAATGGCGGGGAATTGTCCTCAAACTGATGTGTGCGTGTGGGTCTGTGTGCCGATTGCCTCGAGCAACTGTGCCTTCTGTCATGGAAACAATCTTCGTCAAGGGAGCCTAACTAAGCCACGTTCAAAACGTACGGTTCCCCAACTGGACATGGGAAAATTGGTGTCCCGTGGTTTGCAGGATTCCTCGGAATTCTACCAACTCCCTCCCTGAATAAACCATGTGTTTGCTTTTTATCCAAGACTCATCTATGGAATTGGGGGGTGGCTTTTTCACTGCTTCCACATTGCCATATGCGCACTTCATGTAAGAAAACACACATGCGGCCACAAATGGGAAAGACCACTGCGGGGGGCTCCCATCCCCACCTAGAGGAACATGAGCAGTTGGTCCAGGATAGGTACGTATATATATATATATATATATATTCACATATTTATATACATGCACGGAAAGTAAGCAGACCCCTGGCTTCGGAGGGCTTCCAGCGACGACTATGAGCCATAGGAAATGTGGTTGTCGCCTCGCGGATGCTCGTATCAAGTCCCGGCCCTGTTCCACATGCGGGTGACTCGTCTTTTCTTTGGGGGACACCCAAAATGCTGGTTTTCCTGTTGGTTTCCATTAAGAAAAAGACACACCCATACTGTAGATGCACCCTTGATTCGCCTTAAACTGCTCTATATTCAAAGTCAGAGCTTCAAGTTCAAGGGTAAGCTCATTTTACCCGCAGCCGAGTCCAGCTGCTGGTGGCGAACATCGTAATGTTGATTTAAACATCTTTTGAATTATTACATTGGTGCAGAAAAAATGAAGGTGCAATTTGCCATTCGATGGGTTTGTTGCCTAGAGAAGACGACTTTAAACAGCTTTTGGTTTGTTGCATTGGTGCCGAAAAAAATGAAGGTGCAATGCGATTCGATGGGTTTGTTGCCTAGAGAAGACGACTTTAAACATCTTTTCAATTTTTGTATTGGTGCCGAAAAAAATGAAGGTGCAATTTGCCATTCGATGGGTTTGTTGCCTAGAGAAGACGACTTTAAACATCTTTTGAATTTTTGCATTGGTGCCGAAAAAAAATGAAGGTGCAATTTGCCATTCGATGGGTTTGTTGCCTAGAGAAGACGACTTTGAACATCTTTTGCGAAAAAAATGAAGGTGCAATTTGCGATTCGATGGGTTTGTTGCCTAGAGAAGACGACTTTAAACATCTTTTCAATTTTTGTATTGGTGCCGAAAAAAATGAAGGTGCAATTTGCCATTCGATGGGTTTGTTGCCTAGAGAAGACGACTTTAAACATCTTTTGAATTTTTGCATTGGTGCCGGAAAAAAATGAAGGTGCAATTTGCCATTCGATGGGTTTGTTGCCTAGAGAAGACGACTTTGAACATCTTTTGCGAAAAAAATGAAGGTGCAATTTGCCATTCGATGGGTTTGTTGCCTAGAGAAGACGACTTTAAACATCTTTTGAATGTTTGCATTGGTGCCGGAAAAACATGAAGGTGCAATTTGCCATTCGATGGGTTTGTTGCCTAGAGAAGACGACTTTAAACATCTTTTGAATGTTTGCATTGGTGCCGGAAAAAAATGAAGGTGCAATTTGCCATTCGATGGGTTTGTTGCCTAGAGAAGACGACTTAAACATCTTTTGAATTTTTGCATTGGTGCCGAAAAAAATGAAGGTGCAATGCGCTTCGATGGGTTTGAGGCAACATACAGTAAGACTACACGCCTCACGTTTTGCCTGGAGCTCTCTCGACCCCGCCTGGTGATGCCATGGCTCAGCAGCAGCTTCCGGTAGACGCTTTGGTCATCCTCTCCCGGCAATAGCTGCTCTCTCGACGCCATCCCAACCCGGAAACGTCTCCGAAGCGGAGTGATGACAATTGAACATGTGTGCGATGTCAACTAAAAGAAACGAGATCAACCCTACAAATGTGTACAGTTGCATGTTCCTTCAAAGCAAACGTCGATCAGCACATGCAGTTCAACGTGTGCAACATCATGAAATTCCCGCAACCTTGCGACAAGCTACTCTGTATCCTGTCTACCTGGCATGTTGCCCAAAATATCGAAAAATCGGATCGTCAACAAAGAGAGAGCCGGATTCTGCGGTTTGCGTACCAGGGGCGTGTATCTGAAGGCCACTCTCCCTAACTTGAGCTGCGGAAAGCGCCCATATGAGACACGAGAGTGTTGGTCTGCATCATTCAAACAGCCCTTGAACACCCAAAACTTCCATGACGGAAATGCTGGTCAATGGTGACAATAAACTCCTGATAAAATGTAACTGTCCGATCTCACCACAAAGTCCCGGCCCATCGCTCCGTCGAGCGGCTACATATATAGCCCAGTTGTTGTTTTAAGCCGTTCTTCCTCGTGGTCTTTCGCTTGCGGTTCCCCCTTGCAAAACTTGGGTGCCTTGGGATATGTTGATTGCCTCAAGGCAATTCGCGCATTTTGCACACGTTGCTCCTCTTGTGTACCTTGTTTGTCGGGTTTGGTTTGGCCCTTCCCTTAAGACGGGATCGGACGCAGCATTAATGTCCAAACAACAAGAGCAAAAAAAAACACGTTCAGGCATGTCGCACTGCTCCTAGCTTGAACCCAAACATGAAACCTCAAAAGAACAAAGCTCGTCCGAAGCGGCCGCAGTTCTTTTTACCGGGATTGCTGAAAGTTGCACTGCTTCCAGGGCACTAGTGCGCCTGGAGCAGGAGGCACATTGACCCCCCGAAATGTGAAAAGGCAAGACAATGCGTGTCCTTGCGTGTAAATGCAGTGCTTGGGGGGCGCGGCATGCGTGCCCACGCCCCAAGGTCCGGAGACCGACAGTCCGGAGACTCGAGGTCCGGAGACCGAATTGGTCCGGAGACCTGGTCCGGAGACCAAAGTGCCCGGAGGCGACCCACGAAAGTGCAGAGAAACTGCTATCTATCCTGGCAAAGCCTGGCATAGGGCAGTGCAGGGCGGGTGGGTGGGTTTCAGAAATGAAACCGCAGGTTTGGGTCAAGGCTAGGAGCAAAACGGCCAACGCATAGTTCGATTCACCACATGCCCTAAACACAAGGGAAAAGAAACCCTAAGCGTTAAGGCATGTCGCACTGCTCCTAGCTTGAACCCAAACATGAAACCTCAAAAGAACAAAGCTCGTCCGAAGCGGCCGCAGTTCTTTTTACCGGGATTGCTGAAAGTTGCACTGCTTCCAGGGCACTAGTGCGCCTGGAGCAGGAGGCACATTGACCCCCCCTTCAGTGTTTCAGGCAACCCCGGTAAAAGCGAACCCGCTGGGCCGAAGGCCTCATCACCCGCCCTTCAGAGTGGGGTTGTACCTGGCAGGGCAGATGTTAGCGGCACCATGCACGCTGGGTTGTGAACAGCTTGGCATGCGGTGACTGCACTTTTTTCTGGTCAGAGCGGCTTGAGTAAGCGGCTGGCTGACGTCGCCAGTTGTTCTGGCTGACAGGGCAACGGCGGATATTGGGTCAGAAGGCCATGTCGGATGCAGGCTAGGCTGGTGCAGCGACGACGGAGGCTGCTGCCAAATGTTCCGGACGCCAGGGCGCATGCATCGGACACAGTTGAATGCCTCGGCCTGACATCGCTAGGCTTGCAGGGCTGAAGCGTATACCGGGCCAACCGACCTCTGCTGAGATCGTCCGCCCAATCATTGCACCTTCCTGGAACGTGCGTCGGCTGCAGCAGCACGTTGTGAGCGTGAGCCCAGAAGGCTGTTAATTGCACAAAAAGTTGCAACGGCCAGGAGGTCGTGAACAGTTTGTTAAGGCTTGCTTCCGTGGCGGAATTATCTGTGCCGGAAGGCATGCTAAACGAGTAGTGCCCACCACCAATGTGGCTGTGGGTTGCTTGCAGCAGTGCTAACTGTGCAAGAGTTTCAAAGCATGCGATGTACCGCTGTCCTGGCTTGACAAGGCAAGGCCACACGGCTCTTATGTCTTGCATGTTCCAGGTCTCGGCGAACCACACCACTTGGGAGGATGTGATTGCCCAGCCCCCAATCCCCACCATATCATCTTCGGCACACGCGTCGGCGGCAGCCAGAGCTTGCAGCTGGCGTGGCCGCGCCAAAGGCTGAATGGGCGAGCGTCGAAAGCACGACGCCAGCCAAGTAAGGCACTGTTGGCTTGACTTGGAAAGGCTGGTGTATGGGTTGTTGGGGTCCGCGATGCGCACCCATGTGGGCTTGCTAGTGCCAGGCACTTGCGGAATGTCTTGAGGGCAATGCATGGTGCGGCCTGAAATTTCCAAAATTTTGGAGCCCGCTGTGATCCACAAGCCCGGGAGGCTATGGCTAGTTTTGAGGTCCTTAGTCAAGGATGCTCGAAAGGCTGACGGTATTGAGTGCATGGAGCCTGGCGGGCTGAGGTCCGCGTAAAGCGGTGCTAGCCAGGACCTGAGGTGTAGGGCAACGCTGGTGGCCCAAATAAGCAGGCCTATGCACTGCTCGAGTGTTTTGCGGGGCACACGTCGATTTCCCAACAGGGATTTGATCAAGGCGTCCAGCTTGGCTAGCTTAGCGGACACGAGCTGAATGGTGTCGTGAGAGAAGTTGACCAAACCAGGCTATCCTGGAATTGCGCCTTTTTCCACGAAATGGGTGCTGCAATGGCACAAAAGAAGAGCACCACCAAGGCAAACATGTCTGGCGCGCTATCCCGGAAGAGTGCACAGAGCAGGTCGTCCACAAAGAGGAAGGCTTTGTGTGGCTTCCAGGCTAGCAACCCATGCACCTGACGAAGCAAGAATGCGCCGGTGCGCTGCCACCAGAAAGCCGAGAAACGGCCCCCAAAATGGCACACCCGGTAGAGCTTCCCTTGAAAGGCGAAGAGTAGAAGGCCATGCTCTTCCGGGCGGACCTGCACTTGTTTGTGTGCGGCTTTAAAGTCAATGCTGGCGCCTATGAAGGCGCCTGGAGTGTCTTCTGGCTGCGTGGACAGCGCCAAATCAGATGCCATTGGCAAGCTAAGGCGCTCTGGGAAATGGCATCTGGTATTGACTTGGCACACGGTGCTATCCAAGACAAGGCGAGGCTCTTTGCCTTCGGCGAACACGACATTTAGCTTGCCCACGGCAATGCCTAAGGGCCATTTTTCCCGAGCGTCGGCTATGCTAAGGCTGGTTTCAACAATCCAGTTGTTGGCAATTTCATTGCGCAGCAAGCCTTGCACGGTTTCTGGCTCGTCTTCGGCCATCTTCCAGTTGCCTTCACAAATTTCCAGATCCGGCGGCGGCACGGAGTCTGGCTTCTTTGCTGGCCATTGAAGGCTTGGTGGCAAGGCTGATACGGCTCCGGCACTCCGTGTTGCAAAAATGGCAGGAGGGCCATGTCTGGGTCACCCCAAAGCAGGTGGAGTCGGTATGGCTGTCCTGCCTCGGGGCTCATATCTGAAGGGCGGGGCAGTTTTAAAGCGGTATACGCTAGGCTTTCGGAGGGCGAGAGTGGGCAGTCCGAAGAACCGCTTTTGACGTGTGCCAGGATACGTGGCACGAGTTTGCGCTCATGCATCCAGTGCAGCCAGGGCCTGGCGACTGTCTGCAGCGGGTGTTCGGGTTTGGGGAGACACCAATCTGCGGATGAGTGCATTCCTGCTCCATCGCAGGTGGGGAGCCTGCAAGGCGCCAAAGTGACGGTTCTAGGGGAGTTAGGGTGCAGTGGCAGTGCTTGCCGGAGTTTTACTTACTCTTCCTACGCCAATTGCAGGGCCAGCGAAGGGGGGTATTCTGCAGTTAGTGTGCTGAGGTATACCCCTTGTTCCTTCACTCCTGCAATACTTTGATGCTTGTGGGAGTGATTGCAGCGGGCCTGCAGGGCCTGTACCTTCGAACTGTTGCTGCCGAATGCCCATGACTTAGCGAAGGCTTTGTCGTGCATGCAGGCATCTACCCACACAAGGGCACACTGGTGATCGCGTAGCATTTGGAAGTTGGCCTCTTCCAACCAGGACATGGCTGATGGTGGCTGCTCCCAAATGCCCACCCCCTTTGGAGACCACTGCTCTGAACAGGGCTCTACCACGGTCGTGGATGGTTTTGCTATCCAGCAATTTTTTACGCTGTGCAGGCGAAAGGCCGGGGACCCCGTCCATGTGCTGCGGCGTTCTCAAGGCTTTGGGCCCGCCTGGGCGAAGTTTGAGTCTGGAGTACTCTTTGCAAGGCTGGGCAAGCATGATCAGGGCCACGATTCCTGACCAGCAGAGTCTGAGGAGTGCCTCGAAGACGCTGTCATCCAGGATGTTGTGCGCAGCATCACCATCTAGGTCAAAAGGCTCAAAGCAGTCAAGGCCAAGACTAATGGCGGCCGACGTCACTGGGTGCAGTCTACCTGCAAACACGTCCAAAAGAGCCGCTTTGAGGCTGGATGCAACTGTGGGTCCGATGAGCTTGCCTGGGCGGGCGCATGTGGCTTTTTGGGTTCGCTACGGTGTGCGGAAGGCAAGGCTGGCGTCAGGGCCGTTCGCCCTGGCCCCTGCGAGGGTGAACACGGTTCATGAGTCCCGTCGTGGGGCAAGGCCGGCGGAGGCATGGCTGCCCGATCCTGTGCCGGTCCAAGATCCGGGCTGTTTCACGTGTGTTTATTGTGATCCATGGCGGGATGCTTTTGCTGGCAGCCTACTATGGCACACACGTGGGCGAAAGGGCAGTGGTCATTGGTGCAACTGCCCGTCTGGTAGCGCCGGCAAACCTCTCTACCTTTATATGTAGTGCACCAATCTGCCTTGGGCTTTGGCGAAGGCGAGGCTCCTTTGGATTTGCCCTTGCCTTTCTTGGTGGGGCGTGAAGGCATGCGGGTTGGCTTAAGGTCGCGCCTGGGCGCCCTTTGCCTTGGTGTTGCGGGGCGTGGAGGTG